CCCGTCCGCTCTCAATGCACACCCCAATACCCGCTTTCACCGCACCCCACACACGACGCTCCACATTCGCCACCCACACACGTCCGATTGATTGCTCGTCGCGTGTGTGTTTGTTCACCGCAAAACACGTGTTTTTCCACTCCCTGCCTAGTGCACCGCTGCACTTCTGCTAATTGCTAATTGGGCAACACGTCTTGGTGCCAAATGAAAACAGCCAGCCACCACCACCACGCCGTAAATACACCCACGAACGCGCACCCTCAGCGCATTTGCGGCTGATCTAACCATGCCGTCGACGTCACTCGGCTGGCTTTGCACAACGTACTTCCAATCGATCATGGTCAACCACTTAAGATCTCTCGCTTGCTTCAACTCGAGCCATGGATTTCCACATCCTTTTGTGGGAATTCTACCGGCCGCCTCTGGACAAATGTCAATTTTTTTTTCAATGTCTTTCAGCTCACAGACACCTAACATTGATCGCTGAGTCACGCCATTACCTCATCCCCCTTTTACGTGCACCAGCGATTTTTTAGCCATCAAGGTCGCTTAGGGCCCATGTTATCAAACACATGCTAGCCATTTCAGACTACGCCTAACGTTGTACCAGAATCGATTTCTCACTGACCTGAGTCATCCATTTAAATTGACGAATAAGCGTTTGCCTATTATCAAGCATTTAGGCCAGCACGATTCAGGAGCGTGAGACGGTAGTGAATAGCGGTTAAGAGAGCAACGCCCGATCGCTGTGTCATGTCTTGTCGGCTCGTAACAGCGTGCACAAGTCGACGACGTCAGCCTAGACTAAACGTCTGCCCCGGTACTTTGTCTGATAACGACGATTTTTCAAATAAACAAATGAATCGCTAGTAATTTAAAACAGGTTTTGTGTGGACAAATGTCCAGGCCATTGGTTTATTCACACGACTGTAGACCTCACCATCGCATTACTTGCCAGACCAACAGGTTGGACCATGATTCAGGCATGCGCTGATTTAAAATCAATATTACGTGGACTCGACTGAATGAATATTGATTCAATTTAAACAAAATAGGTCTGATAACCCTTTAAATTAAAACAAAGCCAATGGATTCCGATTGTACGCCTTTTAATACTTTAAATGGCTTGCTACGTATATAGTAGTGCTAAGGCTACTTGCCACATTGCCCAATCCCTGTTAACAATCAGGCTTCCTTATCATCTTTTTCTCGAATAATGAAGTGCCCGAAAACATGAAATTTGTCACAAAGTGATTGTAATGAGGTGTATTGAGAATTCGTACAAATTTTAACATCACACAAATTTAGCATTTTGGTTGGTAGCCTTTTGGCAAATAGGAGACCAGGCATTTCTAACAAAACAGCTAACTTTTCAAAAAAAGGGTAATAAAATCCACGAAAACAAAAATATTTTTCTTTAAATTTTTAATTGCATACTCCATTATACCTCAATTAAAAACCTTGCCCGACCTTGAGATGCACTCAACCGAATGACGTCATTGGCCAGATTAGCAGTAAGCTGATTGGTCAGAATCATTGGTCTGGTTTTCATCATGCTTAACAGCGATGAATAGAAGATGCGTTGATTGAATTACTGCGTAAATCCCAATTAAAACTTTGCGCCACGTGATTGTGAAGCAAGGGCAATTGCATAAAACCTCAGGTGTGTGTGGATTCACTTGTGCTGAAGACAAATGTATGACACAGAGGTGCGTGGTAGATTGCAGTCCACAAGGCTCCTAATCCAATATTTAGTAACTAACTCTCAGAGGACGACGGAGGTGGTGTAATTGGACACAATCATCCAATGTGCCAACTACTTATCATAGGTCATGACGTGATAGGCAGACATTTCCGCAGTAGTGACATTTTGTAGGTAAATACCAAGCTGATTGCCAAGGGGACTTTAGCTTCTTGCCATTTATCTGTGGCTACGTATTACAGTCCTTGCTTAGCGGATCTTAGTTTTTGTTTCTAATGCAAATTTTGCGTATGCAATAAGTCGTATTTCTAAATTGTGATTGGTCAGTTCCTGGTTCCTAGACACTGTTAATTCAAACCCGTATTCGGTTACCAAAATAAATTGTTTTGGTTCTGTTTTAGCCCAGCAAACTTGCCTGTCCTTGATTCACATGGTATCAAGGTGATGCCCGTTTTGTTTAAATATATTCAAGTGCCGTAAAAGTCAGTCACCGCCTAATCCAAACGTTTGAAACAATCGATATAATATTGGGTTAACCAATCATTTTTAGGTTAAAGCCGTCAAACGAGCTGTAGCGCTGTTAGTTTGTTAACTAAACACAACCAAGGAAAACATGGGCTTATTTTTGAGCTAGCTAATTTGCCCCAGGTAACTTTGTAGGAAAAGTACCAGTGTCTAAAATTGTTGATTTGAGCCAGATAGTACCGAACCAAGTTTTGTCCTGAAGATCGCATTAAAAGTCATATTCGGGGGCCTATTTCAGTAAACATTGATTGAAATGTCAAAATATTTACATTACAGTCCCCATCATATAGAACCCTTTTGCAGGGACACTGTTTCTGGACGTAAAATTCTTTACTTCAAGTTAAATTGCGCTTTTCAATTAAAACCCCCCTAAACGGTATTCGTGGCGTTGCTTGGCGACGACCCCGTTGTCCACTGAGTTTCGTTCGAAACCATCCAATCAGCTGGCTGCATCGTCTGTCTACTTGACAGATCAGGATCAGCTCAGTGAATTTACTTCAAGTAGGAATGGAAATACCTTCTCATCTGTCATAAAAATCATACACTTGAAATCAGGTACATTCAAGTGCTAAAAATGTAATCCAAAATCAAGTTCGAAATTTGTTAAGAATAATTCGACAGAACACATTTACCTTACGATTTAATTGTTTAACCAGTTTTAAAGCTATTGCAACCAGCTCGAGTTTTAGCCTGATGTCACATTTTGCGGGTGGTTACCAAGACAACTGTGCTTACTGACTTGGTCATAATTTGAAATGACCTTCAAACGAAAAACAGCGTAAATTTGCTTGCGACGATTTAGGCACTGATTAGTCAGGATTTAATTTTTATTATTTTTTTTTAATTAAACGAGGACCCTTGCCTCATTTTTCTACGCCCACGTCTTAGTAGCCAATCCGTTTAAGACCGGCAGCAAAATCTTGAATATCCGATCAGCCAATCATGCGTCAAGCTGGTGGGTAGCCGATTATAAAAGGCTAATGTGTCCTCGGCGCACATTTTTTAGCAAAGGTGTTAAGATGGACGGCCGAACGCCAGTTCACATATTTGTGGTTCTCACAATCATAAAAATTGGTCGTTGTGGTACCGTAGCAGGGACGCAGATGTCAACGGAAGCAGACTCCCTCACCGATTTCGACATCGACCTAGCGAGCCTCATGACAAATCCACTGAAACCCACAGCCTTCATGCCGAACTCCATTGTCAGGTCATCGGTGCCGTGTAACAAGGAGAAACCTTTCGTGAAGATGGACGGTGATGTGTTCGTCGACGAATTACCGAGTCCCAAGATTGAGGAGAAGATCCGAGAGATCACGCAGACTTTCGTTGAAACGCTGAAGCACAACAAGTCGTGGTTCGTGTCGCTGCTATTCCACATTCGAAAGGAACAGAAACGCCGTGAATCTGACCGATGCACGGCAGCTGAATGCATCTACAAGATTCCCTGCTACCTGTCTCAGCGCTTCCTTGCAATGTCGGCCTACAAGAAACTAATGCGACGAGTGGGGACTGATGAGGGTCTGGATTTGCTGCGGAGGCGACGACGAGGTCTGACTGGAGCCAAGGGGCTCGGAGACGCAGACGAAGCTGAATATAACTCGCTGATAGCTGATGGCAAGGCTCCCGTTATGAACTGCACAGGCATCTACACAAACTACTGCTACAACTCCATCTCCTGCATCTACGTCAGCGTCCTTGAGAGTGCGGCATGCTCGTGAGTTTTCCATTTGCGTGACAAGTTTTGTTTGGTTTTACCGTCGAATAACTTCCTGGGGTTTTCGGCAATTAGGAAAGATGTTGGTGACGATTGAAGTGTTTAGTTTGGTGGTTCAACAGCAAAAAACCTGTTGCAATGTTGTGTCATGGAACAATAGAGCCGCTTTCGTGTCAACAACGTATATCACAGCATAGTACATCTGCTATCTTCTTAAATTAATCACGCGTCACGTCTCATTCACTCATTTAGCTTTTCTCTTGACACGCCGTTTGAATGCACTCTAAAGCCCCGAAAACGACCATTTTCGGTAGGTCTGGTCAAGCCGAAAATTGTCTGCATTGTGCCTAACATTTACCCTACATCAGTGTAGTTTGTTTAAAACGACACTTGCCATGACAACACTAGCGTTGCGTACTGAATGACCTCAGTCCGTAAACAAACAGTAAGCGAACTACTGCAGCGCTTTGTGCATTCACACAACAAATGACCGTGTCAAGCTTTGATGCATTCTTTCGAGAAACCCCTTTATTCCCGATTTGGTGGCTGCGAAGCGGAATATTGCATGTTTGAATTCCCTCGTGGATTATTTCGGCTGTAAAAAAGTCTCCACCCAAATAAAGTACAAAAGTAAAAAGCAGCAAAGTCTGTACACGAAACGCTAATTACGGCACTACGAGAAATTGTGTTTAAAAATTAGAGGTGTCCTAGATAGCTAGCAGTTTGAATAAGCCATGCAATTCAAGCCTGATTGGAGGGTTTCAAAGGCAGAGGTTTTAGGGTTGGTGTGAAAATCCGCTGCCGTGGGTGATTTATCACCGTGCTTGCACCCGAGCCAGAAACGAACAAATTATTTTGTCCACGTGATCGGATGTGCGAAAATCATGGCGTCTGGTGGTATCACACGCGCACGCTTTAACAATTATGACAAGTTGAAGCAGGTGTTGTAAACAGACACCACAGAAACCTGACGTGCTGCCGTGTGTTTGCACGTTGGTGCCGCATGCACCCCGATCACACTCCAGATGACCCGATCAAGCCAACTAAGGAACAATTTGGTTGAATCTGTGTCACTTGCTTGCGAAAAGCCATTTGGCATGGTGCAGACTTCCTTCCTAAAACCCCGTGTACACAAAACTCCAGCAGCTTCCTCCATCTTTAAGGGACGTGTATGAGTTGGAAAATTTGATTAATTATACGCGCGATTATCCTTGCGTGTACCTTACCTTGATAAAGTGAGTTTGCATAGCTTATTTACTTCCGCAATATTTAAATTTTTTTTAACTCAGCTGTCTTTAATAGTGATTAGGATTGCCACCAAAATAATTCGAATAAAACAAACTACCCACAAAGCAGCTGGCAGCCTTGATGAACAAATCGATAAGATGTTCTCTGTTAACATTGGCAGAGAAAATTACTCACTTATTGGTTAGCCCGTCAGACGCAGCCTATTGGTTAATGGTTTTCGGCCTCTATTGGTGGCAACATTTGTTCCCTTCTTCTTGTAAACTACCACATTTGGCGTCCGTTAACAACTGCAAGACTTGTAAATCAGTGTAAATAAGACCGAACAAGTTCGAATTACGTCATTACTGATGTTTTTTACGTGTTAACTTTGCAACTTTTTATTGGCAGCCCCAGGAAAACGTGGTCCGTTTATTTGGCAAACAAACGAATTCTCAGTGTGTTGTGGGAACAATTTAGCATCCAACGGATTTCAGGTTGTGCTGCGTAAATTTGTTATTTTGGGTCGTACTTTAATTAAATGTTCAAATTCCCAGACACAATAGAAGTCCGGCTTTTAAAAAAACATCATTTTTTGCCAAAATAGAACATTTAGGGTAAGGGCAGATCTAAGAAGGAGGAATTTTGTTTATCAGTAACGCGCATAACTGACAAAATCCATGAAAAAAACGGGATCATAAACACCATGTAATGGCGACAACAAAGCTTCCTGCCGGAGATGTTGTAAATCGGACTTAACAAATTTAAAAATTAAAACTGGATTTCTCGGAGGAAGACAAGCACCCCACTGACTGCATGCTTAGACAAAAAGGGGGTTTATGCGTAATTTCGAGTCGAAAATTTTGTTATTTCAAAAGCCGCGAGGAAACAACGGTTGTTAAAAAAACCCGCCGTGTTCAAAGTTCACGCGATTTCATCGATCGATGAAGGTGAGTAAATGAATCGATATCACAAGAAAGATGGCGCCACAGGCAAAGTCGGCAATTAGCATTTTTTTCCACAACCAGGCTTTGCAAACGTAATGGCTCTTTTTAAAAAAAATCCACAGAGGATTTACCTGGGATAGATTGTGCTCAGATAACCTTTCGCAGTGTCAAACAGCGTCAGACAATTCGCACATTCCGGGATTCGTTTGAGTGGGTGGAAGCTTCTAAAAATGGAGGTCTTGTGGCCTTTGCAGTGGCATCCAGTCATGGGAAGGAGTCATTACAGACCAAAAATATGGTCATTCCAGTGCATGCCTTTCGCACGTTAATTGCTGTTTGTATCCTCTCACTGTAAACAGGCAAATCGTGCAACACTTCAATTCAATTCAAAATAAATTTTTTCTGGTCACAGTAATACAGACAAAACCACCGTTACTATGCAACCACAAATTAATAATCTACGTAAGATCCACCAAAATCAGTTAACGTGCGATCACGCCAGAATTCAACCACATGGCACGATTAACTCGGATTCCGTGTGCACCCAGCTGGAATTAAGACAACACAATCTGGTGAGATTAGGTCACAATAGAGACGAGTTTCAGTGTGTGGTGTTTGTGCGTTTAGGTGCATGCCTGGTTACACGGGTCTGCGATGCGACCTCTACGACCTCTCCATCACGCTGTCGACGTTGTCGCAGTTCCGGGCAACCACGATCGACATTGAATCACTGCGGCCGGAGGATTCGGCGACGATGTACAGTGTGCTGGACGCTACCGCGTAAGTTGCCATCACGCTAGTATGACACCTGATGTTTCGTGCAAATTGATATTGGATGTGGTAATGCCTAACAGGGATGTTGTCCGTTGTCAAACGATCGCGAACAAGGGATGCAAGAGCGGTAGGTTAGACGGTGTCAAGCTTAACTCGACTGCACTCATAAAGCTGGTCGATGACTTGGTGGACGTTACTAGGCAGTGTGTCTACAGCTTGCAACGTGGATGACGTCATCGTGGCTGAAGTGGCTTCATCGTGGCGCCTGCGCATCCTCCTACGTCTTAAGTGGCAAGAAGTTGGCAGTGTGAAGTGGACCACTTGTGTTGGCGTGCATAAACCAACACTGGCTCCGGTTTTGGCAAGTGCACACCACTTGCCATCATCATCAGCATCACCGTCGTCATCATCATCAGCCTCTTCTGAGTGTGCATATTCTGCCTTCTGGCCACTGCCAATCCACACTGGGAATGCGCAGCAGCATCTTCACACAACTTGTCGGCCGACAGTTGAGAGTTAGCGGCGTGACAATGTTTGTGACCACCAATGCGTCTGTTTCTGCTCAGAAATAGCCAATCGCGTGCAGGCTGCTCGACTCAACACTTCCCCACAC